CAGAGAACACATCCAAGCCTAAGCCAGATAGATATTCAGATGCCTGATCTCCTGACTGTGAGTGTGCTAATGCAGGACCTCTGTGCACACAGCATTGGCATGTGTAAACTTTGAAGTCAAGTAGAAGCTGATGAAGAGAGCTTAAGCAGAGCAAATGTTCTTAAAACTCCTGATGAGATGGAAATAAGAAAGTCACCCTAACTGATGCAAGTATGTATGGATGCTATTCAGCATCTTTTTCAAACTGGGCTCTAGAGCAAACCAGAGGTTACAAAAACTAACCCTAGAATACTTCCCTCCCAAAATGACCTCTGTGCTGCAAGCTGGAAATGGGGGTATAAGGGGGTGTTAGTGGGGCAGCTCTGGCTTGCTTGGTCAGCATTTTCCACTAGCACCTCTATACAGGAGAGGTTCTGCCTGTGCCAACTCCAGCTGAAAGCATAGATCCTAGACACCCCACCTTCAACTGCAACGAGCAACAGCAGTAAAAGGCAAAGCCCCAAGTCATGGGGTGCAGCCCCAAAGCCAGCAAACACCTTCCAGCCTGCCACAGCTACTGACCACTAGACTGCCCCACCTCCCGAGAAGGCCTGGCATGGACAACCCATGGAACCTGGAGCTCCAACAGCCCGACTGCCTCCACAAAGCCCACTTGCACATACCAAGCCCTAGGCAGGCCTGCACAGTACCTGAGGGGCACGACTTGGTCCCCAGCTGCCACCTGAAGCGCTCCATTCTGTTAGATCCCATAGTGCTCTTTTGCAAAATGGAAGGGAACTAATTTCACTGCTGGCCAAATTCCAGCTTTGAGTAATTACATTCTTCTGACAAATTTTCCTTGGCAGCTTGAATGGAATATAATTAGTAAATGTAAATAGATGTAAATAGTGCTGTAAATTACACTTTGCGTGACAGCAGAAGCAGAGTGGGAGTGTGAGGGTGAAGGGGCAAAAAGAGCAGAGCTTCATTCTCTGCACCATGGACAACAGTGTTGCCTTCCCTGTCATCAGACTGGGAATGCCTCTGCCAGGACAGTATGTCCAGGGCTAGTGCAGCAGCAGATGCCACGATCCAGGATCATCATGTGGTTCATCACACAGATCATCCACTTCACCTCAAGTACAATTTTGACCTGGCAGTGTTCGGTCATGTCCCACAGCTGTGTTCTCAAGCAGCTGCTGTGTTCCACCTCAGCTGTGCTTCTGCTTCAGCAGCAGGCAAACCGCTTCATGCACAGACACATTCAACTGCTAAATGTGTGTACATGATATTATTGTTTTCTATGAAATGGTTATCAAATTTGTGAATGGTTTGTGAAACCTTCTGCTACCAACTGAAGAAGTGTCATAGAAGTGGAGTTATATAATTATCCTTCACAGCTATTTTAATGCAACCTTATGTACTAGCTTCACCTAAAGTGGAAATAGATTCTTCCAAAAATAAAATAAATGCATATATTTAACTTCATTCAGTCAATTCAATTTTAAAGCAACTATTTAAAGTAAAGAAAACAGATTATAACATATACTTTTCTTATATTATCTACACATTAATACTTTTCTGTATGTCAAATGTCTCTTATGTAGGTCATCTGCTTTAAATACAAATTGATATGGCTAGTGAGCTTAATCAGGTTTTTCTTTCATACACAAAAATTGAGGATGATTTTTTAATAATTCACTTATTTTTGGTTTTATTCAAAAAAATAGAAATAGCCTATAGAAAATAGGTAGCAGAAACTAGTAAAACACAGGGAAAGTTTATTTTCTTAACAAAAGTTTGTTGCACTTTTTAGCTATAACAGGAGAACCAGATGTTTCAGCTTTACATACCATGTCTTACAAAACTTCGTTCTTCGTTCTGAACGCCTATTCGTGCTCTACATGTTTTGGACTGTGTATGGAGAGCTCTGCTAGCAGCCATGGGAAGCATTGCATACATTAGCAAAGCCCACATTAAGATAATTAGCGCTATAAAAAAAATAATCAACAAGCCTCTTTTTTTCCCCTTTATAGTATTGATTTAGTGTGGGTGAAAAATGCCAGATTTTCAATCTTGAAGATTCATGTTCCACCACAGAGCAGGAGATGGAGCCAGCTTTTCCCAGTGTTCTGCCAATAAACTCTGAGATTAACCATCTCAAGAGCTAGGAGGAAGAGCCAGGCTCTACGGTCTAACAACCCTTAGTCTCTCTTATGAACCTATGAACATGGAGAATGGGGAGCACACAATGTGGGACAGGGAACTCAAATTCTTAATCTTTGTGGCTGTACTTACGCAATATTTTCTTGTAAAAAATGTTCTGAACTGCTGTGGCCAGCAGAAAGGAGCAGGAGGCAGTACTGAAGTTGCACTGCTGCAGAGAGAACTCTGGGCAGTGGTAGCAGCTATGGGAAAAATTCTACAGTGAAAGAAGCCTTTGAGGTTCATTGTGTATCTCATGTATGTATCTTCTAAGTGGCATGCTCTGTTTTAATACAGACTGTTTTTGTAAGGAGTCTGCAATCTTTTGCAAATCCTGTGATGGGTTATATACACATTTAACTCTGTCTGGCAGTAACTTTACCTTCTGTGGATCCAAATAATGTCAATATGGATACAGGCACATAATCAGATGTGACTGGATTATGGCAGCTTAAAAAAATGACTCCCTGGTCCCTTGAGATGCTGAAGTCATGGCAGTTTAAGGTAGCAAGTTTTGTTTAGTATTAAATGACATGCTAAGAGCTTGCACATGAGCAGCTTTGAATACTCTGTAGGTAGGTGGCTACTTGCTAAGCCACCTTACAGCTTGAGTTTATTCCGCTGGGGAAGGATCCACTGCAGACATACCCCTGAAGACAGTAATATGTCCTACTGGGATGTTTAGTATTTATTTTAGTAATAGAGTTATCCAGGTTAGTTGAGGATGTTTGGAAGGGTTACTTTAAAACCACTTGCTTTCAGGCAAAGTGATAATCAGTCTAAGCACTGTAAGACACTTATAATGGAAGGCCAACACATCTTTTTTCATTCAGTCTGCAAGAGTAAACCGAGCGCAGCTGTTTTACTGAAAACAACCCACTGGTATTTAAGCAGATTAACAAAATTAACTGTGAAAATCCTCTGGTATGTGAAAGCCAATAACCTGTTGGCCACAAGGAGGCAGGGCAAGGATTCAGTAAACTCAAAGAGATTGCTTTATTTAAAAAAGAAAAAAAAAGAAGGAAAAAAAAAAAAGAGAAAAAGAAAAAAGAGGAGCATTAAATTAGTTCAGTCATGAATCTCTGCACTGCTAGGCAAGATAAAAAGCACTTTTCAGCCCCAGTGTGTGGTTTCAGTATTGCCGTTTTATTCCAAAAGCAGCAAATATCTTAAGATATCAAACAATAGCTGATCTGGCAGCAGTTTTCTGCTTCTTTTGAAGAAGCAGGTCACACATGTTTCTTCTTCATCACTTCTGTGTGATGTAAAGAAAAACCCTAACACTGAGCTTTGATAGCAATAGAGGATTTACCAACTCAGAGCAAGCCATACTGCCAGGTTCACAAGGTGTTGCTCCCCAGCTAATAAGCCCTGCTTCTGGGCAGCTTTGGGAGCTCTGCCTTTTTGCTCCCTTGCCACTTCTAATTCAGTGCTAAAATCAGGCAGGGACAGTTTGGTGTCTCTAGTCCGCTACCAAGAACCTATGCACAGTACAGTAATACTTCCCTAAACCAGAACTTAAGGACATTCCAAACTCAGCACAAACTCAAGGCCAAACTTCAAAATGACAAAGGGGCAAAAGAGGAAAATAAAGCCAAAGTATCTCTGTTTCAGAGTTAAATTGAAAAGGATTAAATTTAACAGTGAAACAGCCTTCCACGGTATCAGCACATCACAGTCCACATCTATGACTGACCTTCTGTTTTAGGTGAAGTGATTATACTCCTAGCTCTGCCACTGCATGCTACCAAGATAGGTAATTTCAGTCCTCTATGACTCTGTTTCCTTGTCTTTTAAGCAGTTGCTTTCCTTCTCTGTGAAGCAGTATGAGGTCCATGGATAAAAAACATGCTACACGAACTAGTTATTATTAATGCAATTCAGATATGGAATGCACCAGATGGTAAAATCTCCAGGATTTTAATGAACTATTGTAACAGAACATATGTAATATGACGTTATTATAACAGGCATTTAAATGTATAGTTAGTACATACAACGTGACCTGCTCTGCTCTCAGTAACTCCACTGGAATTATTTTGGATTTATGTCAGATAATACTAGGAACACAAAATAGCCCCATATGTGCAATGTGGTAAGGTTTTCATAGCAATGCTATCTTAACTATTGCCTGCCCTGTTTTCATTTTTTGCTGGGGATATTGCATTTAGTGGTCTGTTAGACTACACCTTCTGCATTTAATTCTGAGCAGGAAGTAAAAAAAAAAAAAGTACCCTCATGTCAAAGACTAAAATGCCTCTGACCAAGTATCCCTTAGCTATCATCAGAAACTAGCTGTCATGAAGCGGGAAGAACTTTGGCTTTTTTTCCACTAAATTCTGTAAAAATTATATCTTTGAGCACCTTATGCTAGGACCTGGTAAGCAACTCATGCTTGTGTCAGAAGACACAAACATTCAGTTTCAGACTGTGAAGACAGTAGTATCTCCTTTCTCCCACACCATTTGAGCACTGGACAAGATGAGTTATATGACTGGGCAAAGGTGAAAAAGCAGGACTGCAGCTCAAGCCACAGGCATCACACATTACAGTCAGAGACAGGTACTGACTTCAGTAAAGCAGGAACATGAAGATACTATCAGTATATCTAATAATTCTAGCTCATCTACAACACAGACTATAAAACTCAAGTGAACTGACATTTAATATATGAGAGGCTGGAAGCAAGATATCAGTTTCACATCATAAATTAGCCTTTGTGCTACTGCCCAAAGATTTAGCTGATTACTCATTGCTTTCCCTTAGTGCTTAAGCAGTCTTTTCCAAAGCAAGACAGTTAAACCACAAAAACGTACCGTAGTGTCCACAGCCCTGACCTTCCCAGCAGGAACGTGCTTTGGAATGGGTTCTTCTGCTGATATCATCATGCAGCCTTCTGCTCCAAGAGTAACAATTACGAGCTTACACCCTCTTTCTAACAGCATGTGTCCCACCTTTCCAGCATCTTCAAGGTTGCCAACTGGGATGCCCGTTAAAATTTCTGCCTGGAAAATAACCCACGCAAATGAAAATCACAATCTGACAGAATTCATTTTTGGACAACAGTTGCATTTGAAAACAGTATTTGATACAATTTTTAAATATGTATAATAGGATGATCATGAAACCACTTCCTACACTGATATTCAGCTATGTCTTGCTCCTCATCTGAAATCACTGTGTACTTCAGGCATAGCAGACTAAAGGAGAGCAGCCTAGGCAGAGACGCAGGAGGCATGGGTTCTGTTCCAGTTTCTATGACTTACCTGGCATGCAGCTCTTAATAAAATCACATTTCTCCCACATGCCTCAGTTTCTTCATCTGTGAAGTTAACACAATGGCACGGCCTTGGCAAAAGCATTTTGTGCTCTAATGTGAAAAAGGCTACATGGCAACTTGGTCACTATTGTTGGGGGATATTTATCACTAAGTGAGAAAGTTTTAAAATTCTTTTTTAAATTCTCAGTGTTCAGCTAGAGGGAAATCACAAGGGAAAATCTCTTTAAGGGGAAAAAAATAATTGCTCAACTTTGATCACTCTGCTCACTTTAGTATACATTTTTAGACAAAAATGCCTAAAAATTATCTGAAGCCTGCTGTGGGCAAAGGCCCATTGCAAGATTATTATATATTTGTGTTATGGCCATGTCCATAGGCCTCTGTCAAAACTAAGACTCTTCTGTGTTGGTCTTGTACAAACACAGATAAACTCGTTTTCTAACAGATGGTGACCTTAAGTCAGCTTCTCCCAGTTGGCTCTTAAAATTAATCTCATCTAGTTCCACCCAACAAAGAGCAAATTTTCCCAAAAATTTGCAATGAAGACTCCAGAATCAAGCATTCTTTTTGCCACTTCATACATCTTCTTGAAGGCATAGCACTGTCAACTGTCATGTACTTTTTCTTTTGGCAGGGAAGAGAACAAGAATGAAACAGCAAGAAAGGGAAGAGAAAATACAGTGGCACAATACAGTATGCCTTCAGTTGGAAGTAAAGAGACTTATTCTATTTTGCTGTCTTTACTAAATCTTGTCCTGCTTGACTGAGAAGAGGGAAGTCCTACTTTATCTTGCACTACAAGGTTGCTGCAGGATCTGAAAAATGCAGTCAGGAGTATTACCAGTTAACCGCCTAGTAACTGGGCATAGCTTCCACACTCTTAGGGTTACTTTCAGTGGTAAACTTGCTTTGGAACCTATTCACCAGCTCCTCTTCCTGACCTCTGCTGCATGGGCAACTCAGCTTCTTGGGAAACAGCTGCCAAAATATTTTGAAGTACCTCCCTCTGCATTACTGAAACTTGAATTTAGCACACATACTTCTTGATATAATGGGCTATAAACTATAGTGATTAAACAACTGCTCCATTAAGCACGGGCCATGCCTGAAGTAAAGAGAGGGAGCGCAGACAGCTGGGGACAGGAACTACTACAGCCATCCCAAAGTAAACCGCCCCCAGCTGTGAGTCAGCGCCCGCTGCTCCCCACTGTCATTTCCTGTGTTTCAGCCTGACCCAGGAGAGAGAAGCCACCCTTAGGCTCTGAAGGGCCAGATTATGCCAACACACTCCCTAGAGTTTATAGTATCATTAGCAGAGTACTTACTGGTTTTAATTTTCAAACTTACAGGACCAAGTTCTCAGTCCCTACTTAGACAAATGCACAAATGATTTCAAGCATTGTTCAGCTGAGTGCTGCAAGGCAGAATCTGGTATGGCACAGACCCTGGTGGGTAAATTCGTGCAGTGCAGGGGCAAGGTGTGGTTAATCTGTACATGCAACTTAAAACTACTTTTATTAACCTCACTGATCCCAGACAAGAATATAGTAAGCTTAAATTCTACAACGGCATGTAAACAGATCAAATTTTCTCTTTAGCATGTCACCCTGCCACTCAAACTTCTCTTGCAGTACAAACTATTGAAGCAAATGGAACCTCTTTCAGTTTTTAAAAGCTTATAAAAGTATTTCCAAATAAGAAAGTTTGTTTCAAATAGTACCTCACAAAACCTTTTGAATGTATCTCCTTGCAAGGTTTGCAAGGAGTCGATAATCCAATAATGGCTTTGGAGAAACTAAGGACAGAAAATAAATAGGATTATTTATTTTCTGTATTCTAATATTCAAGTGTCTAAAGAGTCTGTGCCTTTTCACAATTCTTAAGCTCTCTGGAGCTTAAACTATGCATTCCTGTATCCAAAACACCTAGCACATCATGTTACAGGAATAAAAATGGATTAACACATATCCTTGACTGCAAATGGCTAACTCAATTTCCAGTGTACTTTATGAGGGGCAATAATTCCAAACATTTTACCTAATGTTGCAAAGTCTCCAGAACAAAAATGGATTTGGTTTTGGTAGAGAAACAGTAAATCTAATTTGGGTTTATTTACTTTGCATTTACACTTTTCATGAGCAAGGTAAATGAAGAATTTAAATATAATATTCTTCCTAATGAAGCATGTATGTTGTATGCTTAACATTGGTTTTGTACCACTCTTTGTACCTACTGAGCCCCAAGTCAACAGGATTTTTTTTTATTAGGTAGTAAAAGAATTTTCTGGGACTGATATGTGCAAGGTTTTCCAGTAATCTTTCTTCTTATCTTTACACTGCTTGTATCAATAAACAAAATTATTTTGAACAGAGAGAGTCTGTATAAAAGTAGATCTTCAACTGCTTGAAACCCCTATCATCTAACTCATCTACAGCAGGATGGCAACACTAAAAAACACTGGAACAAGCTGGAAGAACCATAAAGCAGCAGAAGCCAGACAGATTCTGTGCCAATAATCAGAGATTGTGGTAAATGTCAACTGATGTTAAATACTGTGGTGAGTTTCTGAGTTCCTCCCTTCAGTAGAATCTTACTTAAAAAACAAACTGTGGTACAATTGAAGGAAATAACTAATGGTTATGTAAAGAAAAAATTAAATAACAATACTGAAAGCCCAATGTGGACATCTGCCATAGTACTGTACAAAAGAGCAGAAAATTAAGAATTTTATTTTTCTGCAGCTAGTCTTATAAAACTCCTCAGTTCAATGGACCTATTAAAGGAAGAGGACATTCCACAAAACTGCCATCAGAATAAACCTGTGATGGGTATTATATAAATAATCTACACAGAATTTTCTTAATTTTGTTTAAAAAAGGTGGAAGAGAAATCTAACTGAAGCTTTTCATTTAACTATATGAAGGTTCTTGGCCATAATGCTCACTAATCTTAGTTCACTCTCATGCCTCTTTAGACTGTAGTCTAGTTACAGTAAGTTAACACAAACCAGCACTGCTACAGTAAATCATAGTCCTGCTTTTTCCCTTCCACTCCTGCCCACATGGTCCATTCTCTTGTGCCCGCACAGCCATTTGTGTGGCCAGGAAACAAAGTGGATTGCAAGGCAGATTTGTGTTAAAATTAATGCCACCCCAGTCCCATACTACCCCCAAAAGCCAACCCAAAACAATTAACTTCTTTGAACAGCAGTACTAGTTTATCCTGGCTACAAGTGAGAATGAAACTGTGATATGAACCTTTGCTGTGGTGTATTTGGGGCAGCCTATGGCTTACATGGCCACTTTTGGGGAGATGATCTGGGTCCTCTGCTTGGCATTTGCAACACCAGATCTGTACCATGGTATATAGACACATACTAGAGAATACTGCAATGGAAGGCCATCAAGATACTCAGAGGGTCAAAGACCAGAACACACAAGAAAAGGCTGGGAGAAGTGGGCTTGTTCAGCCTTAAGTACGCAAGGCTAAGAGGAGATCTAATTGCTGTCTACTGCAATTTAATGGGTGGATATCGAGAAAATGAAGCCAGAGTCTTCTTGAAGGGATAGGGCTAGAGACAACAGGCACAAGCTGGAACATGGGAAATTCCTGTATTAGGACAAGCTTTCTCACCACAAGGGTGATGCAGCATTGAAACAGGTGCCCAGAGGTCACGCAATCTCCATCCTCAGAGATTCAAAACTTGACTGTATCTGAGCAATCTGACCTAAACTGGCCATGCTTCACCAGGGTGTTGGACTACAGCCCTCCAGAGGTCTGTTCCCAGGTTCTATGACCCTCAGCAAATATAAACTCGTGAAATAACAAGAAGTGTTAATTCTTTGGGGAGCAGTCTATCACTTGGACTGCTTTCTGTGCACCTCGCACAATAACAACTTTGCAAATGCTGCCAGGTACTGCTGGAACAGAAATACTAAATAGTAATACAGAAATGGTGCCAGTTTTAAGGCTAACCTATCTAAAACTACATATGATAACTTAAAATATTTTTAATTTAAAATATTTAAACGCAGTAAGCCAGTTGGCTATGAACTTGGCTTGTACCTTAGAAGATTTCTTTGAGAATGACAGAACAAGAACTCAATCTCGTTAATTCTAACACATGTGAACAGTCCCAAAGAAGCAGTGAGACAGATCTGGTGTAAAAACAATTGCAAGATCAGGCCATAAGCCAAGCTAGTTCCAGTTGTTTCAAATTATAAAATTTTTACATACATACAGGCAGAAATACTTATCGTGCTAGAATAATTAAAAACTGATTGAAATTAATTGGCTTGAAGCTATTCCCTCCCCTCCCCAAAGTAACATCTTTTATTTTAGACTAAATATGGGAAATTTCATAGTTTCCAGCAACTGGTAAAATGAGGTTTAGAACAAAGTCGGAATTAAAATATACTGCGAATTGCTGGCAACTTCTACTTTGTGGTGTAATAGTAGCCTTCCATTACTTGAAACAGAAAAGGCAAATTCAAGAGGCATTCTGAGATATTTCAATTCTAAAGGACTTATTTTTGTTTTGACTACTAGACATATCAAATATTTTTCTTAAGAAAGACTATCCATAGGATTACTGTCTCTACATTAGTAAGCAGTATCTTACATGTCCTAATCCATGACTCTAATAGTTTTATGAACTTGACAGGCTTTGAGTCCTGTAAAAGTCAATACTGTCTCTTGATTTTGGACATACTACCATGAATTTCCATCATTAATATTTCTTCAAAATAGCCTCTAGTAATAGACAACAACACTTAAAAGGAAACAATAGGATGGTATCTATTTTTACATACTATTTTTTGTACACCTTGCAGCTTTCTTTAACAAAAGTAGCCATTAACTTACATTTAGTTGTACTGCTTTCTACCACTGAAGCCCCAAAGTAGTCTGTTAGCATTTAATTAAATCTTTGCTAGGCCTTTCTTATTTAGATCAGAAGTCCGATACCCATTTTGCAATAGGGAGAAAGAAGTTCCCAGTTTTTCATTAAAAAATAGCTTGACAAACTAAATCACTTGTTGTAACCATTTAGGATTTTTTCTTCTCCTGAAGGGCTCCTCAGTATTCTTTGAATGGAGAAGCAGCTGTTCCTCAAAACATTTCGGACCAAACTGAAATCGCTGATGTGCAATGTATTTTGGTTCCTAACCTGCAGGGCTATGTAATTGCACACACACACTAAAGAAGAAAAACAACACATGAACTGTATTGACATTGTGGTTGCGCCTAGAGCCATACTGCAGCAAGGCAGCACACAAATACATGGGGAAAAAATGGTAAGTATTCCAAAGAGCTCGTCTTGTATAGGGTTGTCTGTTTCTCAACATTTGTGGATGACTGAAAAGAACAACCATTGGTTTTCACTAAAGTGACATTGGATACATTTATTTTTCATTAGAAGAATTAAGGGAATTGAGAACTAGCACATTCCTGCACAAACCTCAGGGATTAGGCTGTGCTACATCTGGGAATTAACAAACTAGTCTCAACAAGTTTGATCTTCCTGGGAAAAGATAAAACTGAACTACAGGCTAAGCAAAGAAAGAACTGATAACCTTGCAAGATTTGTTCTGAGTTTTGCTGTTCATGAACCACATAAAAAGAAAGTAATGTCAGACATAAAAAATAAATTATTATTGCAACAAGCAAGAGTGAAAAGAACAGCTTGTGAAGAGCCTTCTAGACAAACTAATGGTAGATAATTCACTGATAGTATAATTTTATTTGCTTCTCTCTAGCACATAAATCCATAAGAACAAGCTGTGCTGTTACACCAGATACTGCATGTGATTTCATTAAATCCTAAAGCATTTAATGAAGGATGGAGTATAAAGTGCAGAGTTGTATTTGGTGCTTGCATGTTTGGGACCCAACATCCCATGGCTGTCTGAGACTATAGCTGACATTTTTAAACCTTTGTTCTATGACAAAGGCATTGCAGATCAAACCTCCTGACCTTCACGGCAGTAAATAACAGGAACTTCTCACACAGTAATAATTCAGCTAATCACAAGTACTACACCATTTTTCCTATCTTTAACAATGCAAACACTCCACATAATGTATGAGAAATCTAGCTAAATAGCTAGCATTCTGTTCTTCAGCTAACATAATCTCCTGTTACAAACATATGCACATAATATCCACAAACCACAGGATTTTATCATTTAAAGGTATTTCTTGCTATTTTTTGGTGTCCAAAAAAAGACATTTTGGTAAAATTGTGTGATAGATACTTGTAAATTTAAGTGATTAAGCCAAACCAAGTAATAAAAAAACCCCAAAACCCCAACAGTGTAAATTTAACCTACTCTTAGCATATATGTCTGTGTTTAAAAGAGTGTTTTAGAAGCAGTTGAACTGGAATGCTCATCTTTAAACCCAAGATGACTTGTTAGCTATTTAGAAGATCTAGTAACAATAAAGCAGAAGCACTATTTTTTCCCTTGTAGTACCTAAAAATCCCCCCTCAAAAACAAAAGATCCCAAAAGGGGGTAAGGCTGGAACATAAACAGGACTTTGGCTAGAAGGAAGTTATTTGAAACTTAGAAATACCAAGTAGAAGAGGCAATGAAGCTGGAACAGAACATCTCAGGAAAGCAGCTGTGAGCAGCATGTTCAGTAAGTTTGACAATAAAGAATAACGATTAAAAAAAATATTCCATAGAATAGGAATGGCCATAGTGGTTCAGAGCAAAGGTCCATGGTACCCAATTGCTCCTTTCTGACTGTAACTGCTAGTAGGTACTGAGGGAAATGTAAAAAAAATGTATAAAATGATCTTTTCCCAGTATATATTCTGGATCATAAAGATCCTGGGTTCTTCCTGATGTAAGAAGATGAATGAAATGCATATGTAGTTCATTGAATGGAAAAAGTTTTAACAATTAGAATTATCTTTAAGATCTGTAGAATTAACTTACTGCTTTTAAGTGCCATACAGAGATGTGACTAGTAACCTTTGAGTATGTAAACATTTATATCTATATCAAACTTCGCAAGCGCATATATTACAGGGATCTGAAATTAAAGAAAGTCATGAAAGAAAACAGAAAACAGATGGCATATGAATATATAACAATTACTAAAGCCCCAACTTTCAAACTTGTGACATAAGAAAAACAAATGCTTCATTCTTCCTCTTTTCTCAGCAAAAAGAAAGGAACAATGGCAATAGTTCATCCCTGAAAATCAATTCAATAACAAATCAGACGCACAGAGAGGATGAAGTCAAACATAATTGATTACTACAGTTGTGCTAATGTAATTGATTTCATTGCAATGTATGAAAATGGTATTGTTAAAAGCAAAGGTATTTATGTGCGATTCTTGTTCTCAGAATATGCTGTAGGAGTCCCACATTGGATCAGTGCTCCCATATGGCTGGCAGGAACTTCCAGGTCTACCATTTCCATACGTTCGGAAGAGAAAAGCCTCCTCAACAGCAGAGTATATTTCTATGCCTGACTGTGCTTACAGTGATCACAGCTATCTTCAAATGTTAACTACTTTTTAAAAGAAAATAGCAGAAAAGAATGCAAACTGTACCCCCAGCTCTGCAAGAAAGGCAGATGAGTGAGCAGGGTTCTATTATAATTATACACCTGTATTTCTTGTTCTCCAAATAGAAGTAATTTTCTTTTCTCCATGTGGTCGTAATAATAATACACTCTGGCTCCAGCAAGTTAAAATTCTCAAAGAATGTCTCTTTCAAGACTGTCCTCTAGCAATAAAGTATAACAAAAGGAAAACTTTAACATGTGTGTTGCAAAGAGCAATGAGAGAAAAGTCGGGAATAGACAACTAATGGAAAACAAAGTTTTGTTTCTAACATATGGGGGATAAGTTTTTGCAGGGGGTGAAAAAAAGTAACTAGTGACATTATGAAAAAAGCAAACAACGAATGACATTTACTAAACTGGTGGGAGAGTATGGGTGTTCTGAGCCCAAAATGTGTGCTGTTGCACTGTATAGCTAATCCAGGGGCATAGTCCAGGCATTAGTGTTTTCTGAAAGCATGAAGAAAACACCATATGGGTATCCTGCAAGTCCTCTGAACAAGAATAAATACTTTGCCTTAGCATTCTCTTCATTACATCTAATTGAGTCCTGATAGCTGTTGGTCTGAGCCACAAATGCTACCACTGCCAGTTAGACTGGGAACTGTGCCTTCCAGAGACCTGAGAAGCTGTGGCATCCATCTCCCACATTGTTATTTTGCTAATTCTTGAATGCTCTGGGGTATCTGAACTGGGGAAGCACATACTGAAATATCCCAGAACAAAATTCAGATGCCCATTTGGGTTACTTAGGCTGATGCTTAAATGCTAGACTTGTGAACTGAGAACTTCTGATACTGTTTTAAAAGAACTTTCAGAAGAGGGTAATTGAGTCTTGAAGAACTTACTCTGACAGACATAACATCAGACAAAAAATCATGTAAGTAAGCATGACCAAGCTTTTCTCATAGTGCTTGCTCCTCATCTCCACAATGAACAAGGTAACATGTTCATTGCAGAAATCATGTTTGCTGGAGGTAACTTCAACTATGATAAGAAATGACTTCTATCCACTAGGTTACTTCTCCCACACTCTTGTTTATATAAAGAGAGGGTGAGGGGAAGGAACACAGCATGCATAATGTTAATAAACAGGAAATTTAAACAAAGGCCTTATGAGATGAGCTTAATTTGTCTCTTGTGACAAAAGTACTTTCCTTTGGGAGAAATAACATATTTGAATTGGAAAAGAGGGGGAAAGGAGCTAAAAAAAAAAGGAAGAAGGAAAACACAGTTGAAGGGCTAGAGAAACAGATTCACTGAAAACAGATCTGACAAGAAAAGGCATATGAAGCTCCTATTTGCCATCAAGTGCAGCATGTGTGCATCACCTCCTGGCAAGTGAATTTAAAACTGACAGAACACTACGGATAGCACATTCCATATCAAGGGACCGCAGACAAGGACAAGGATCTATCTAAATATTTACCACTCAGTGAAAGCATTTTAAAAGTGTCCTTTTATGGATTTGTTTTATTCATCTTCTTGTAAGGAAGGCTGGACACAACTTTCCCACTGCAAACAGTTAATCTGAGTGCAATCTAAAGATATTCTTGAATACTCTTTGCTTGCTAAGTAAGGAAGCAAACTTGTCATCTCCTAAGTCCTATGTGAGAGGAGTAGTTTTCCAGCTTCCTATGCTGCATATATGAGAAGAGTATCCCTCTGAAATTTTACTGCTCAAGGCTCCTTCTTTAACATGACATATGACCATTACCTCAGTTTCATTGCAGCAGAAGATATCAGAATGGGTATAAAATTGTGGATCTAGGTCAGCAAGGGCTGGAGCTGGATTAAATAAAGTCTTTACTGAAAAAAAAAAAAAAGAAGAAAAAGTCTAAATCTCTAGTGGTTTAGATTCATAAACCATCACCTGAAACACCACTGTGTTTAATTGACAGCCCCCGATATTTATTATTAACATACAAATGGCTCTTGATTTCTATATCCTCATTTTATAGAACTGCTGGAAGTTTTGTTTACTTTATTAAAGTTCCTTCTGATTTATGTGCAGGCACCTGTCATGATGGGAACATGACAGAGAAGTAACAGAAAAAATAACCAAGAAATTATTAAATAAAAAAGGGGGGAAAAGCATTAGCCAGCAATGCAATTTGTTTAACCGATGATGCTTCTTCCAGGATTTTAATAAGTTTAGTTCTAGATTTTTTTCAGTGTTGTTATCTGCATTCTGTACATGAAGCAACGGGAATGGAGTAACAAAGAGCATGTCCAGACAAGGAGTTAAACATGCTTCTGAATGTTACCTAACTTGTTCAAAATGCCACATTATAAAACTGTAGTGTAGACAAGGCACTGTATGTTTTTAATATGCTATCTGGCAGAGCTAGACCTAAACTTAACATGTGGTAGAATATGTTAGTTAACCTAACTTTAAACTGTAGCCTAAGGCCCTGTTTGCCTAAGGTTTGTCATGAGGACAGTGACTTACTCACTACTAGCACAGGAAATCTTTAGACTTGGTTTCTCACTTTGCCAATTTCATGATTAATACTTCTGTGTCTTAGCCATAAGGCCATAATTTTTATACAAAGCACACTCTCTTACTTTAGAAATATTCCTTATAATAAGTGATCAGATCTTCCAAATTGGATGCCTAAGTTTTCAGACTTTTAGACCCTATGCTACAGCACATAATATTCAGACTATTTGGAATCCCAGTTAATGCCCTAGAAGACAAAGATGCACAGAGACTTGTGAAACCTGAGTACTGATGACTTTAAAAGATGACCTTTTTGATTAACATTCTAAAAGTTTTAGCCTTTGACTGTACAACGTTATCATGCTTCTCTACCTGCCTTGTTAAAAAGAGTATTAAAGTGACAAAGATATTTACTCAGAAGTCAGAAAATGCAAGGATTAGGATTTCCAATGAAATTTTAATTTGGCTCCCTTATATTATTACAATACAGCATGTATTATAATAAACTCTTTAATTGTATGATCACATACCACTGAAAAACAGCATGTGATCACATAATTAAAGACTGCAGCATAATACATATGCAGAAAGGAGACAAATTAAAGTTTCATATGCAACCTTAACTCTTGCATTTCCTATTTTCTGAATTGCAACCCTAACAAAGTTTTTTAAGACACAAATCTTTAAGGTATACTTTCTTACATAAAGCAAACAAACAGCACATACTGGAAAAAAAACTGTTACGTGGCATCATAACAACATATACATGGGTCAGGAGGAGCACTGGAAGTGTTCCAACTTGGGTTTTAAGTAGTACAGATGCATCATGAATAGTGTGCAATACATTATTATTAGTTTGCACCTGTATTTAATATCTGTTGAGTCGGGGGGAGATAGAGGAACCATAAGTTTCTCTTTCAGGCTGTGAAGAAGAGCATGGCTTGTGAACAGGGTGATCTGTTTGGTCCCCCTGAAGAACACCAGATTATTTTTTGCCCAATTCTTTCTCTCACTTTACCAAGAATCTGTTCTCCTCACCCAGTTTCATTCTTTATGCCTCCTTATATAAGCACTATGCAATAGTAACCTTTTCCACTGAACTTTTGTTGCATCATATCTCTTTATGCCCCTTCTCCTATGCTTTCTTTTTCCCACTTCGAGTACCCACAGCCTACTCCCTACCTCCATATTGCAATCTTTATTCAAATTCAACAAATCCTATTATCTATTCCAATTTTGTTCCCCTTTCAGTTTCTCTCTTCCTTCTTCCTCTGCCACCCCCAAAATCAAGCAAATCCCTCCTACACTTCTCTTTGTCTGAAATCTACCTCTCTGTCCTCAGCATTCCCGTCCAGCTTTCTCTCTTCTGTATTGAAATCAAGTCAGCTCCTGCTCTGCACTTCCTAGGCCTGCAAGAGATCTTCAATAGTATTACAAAGAAGTTACCTAAAACCAGATTCAGGAACTACACTGAAAGTCATGCTGCCCAAAGGGACAACTGCTTGCATGGACAGACTCTCATGGGCAGCTAGCTGTGGAGCTCTAAGAAGTCTGTGTGAAAAGCAGTTATTTCCCAAAGGCAGATGATACAGTAAAAGTTATGCAGATTTCCATACTATTGTAAAGGCTTTTCCTTGAAAGAAAGCTCCTTTGCTATCAAGTCTTAGGTAAACTTTAAGGTAGGCAGTATTCATAATTTAAAAGGGGGGTAGCCCTTTTAGCTGCTATGCTTTGGTGGAAATGACAAGGAGTTTAACCACAGACAAACAACTGATCTGAAAAATTGCAGCCCATGATTAAAAAGTTGAAGCACCTGAAAAATAGATCCTTTACTTGCAGGTGACACAGAACCTTAATAACTGAGATTGCTTCCAGCCCATTCTTCACTACACTATTAATAGGCTGGACATTATCAGTCATCTTTTATGGAATCTTTCCTTAGAGAAGCCCCAAAACTGCTTTACAGACTTTGCTATACAGTAACATTTTGCCCATCAATGAAGTGGTTCCCCTCTTGGAAGGAGCAGCAGCTTCACAACACGTGGCTATTCAAGACCTAGAATTTTCCTGTCAGATTTCCACTACAATTTATACCCACTTCATATCATTATTCACAACTAATTTCCCTTCCCTTCCCTTCCCTTCCCTTCCCTTCCCTTCCCTTCCCTTCCTCTTTCCTTTTCCTTCTTTTCCTTCCCCTTTCCTTTCCTTTCCTTTCCTTTTTCCTTTCCTTCTTTCCTTTCCTTTCCTTTCCTTTCCTTTCCTTTCCTTTCCTTTCCTTTCCTTTCCTTTCCTTTCCTTTCCTTTCCTTTCCTTTCCTTTCCTTTCCTTTCCTTTCCTTTCCTTTCCTTTCCTTTCCTTTCCTTTCCTTTCCTTTCCTTTCCTTTCCTTTCCTTTCCTTTCCTT